AGACTGTGTCAATAGAGTGCGAACCGGATGTAGTACGAGCTTCTGCCGCTAGGGGGCGCGGCCTACCTTCATAGTGAATTAGTGTGCCAGCCGGCATCATCGAATTAGCATTTGTTTCTTAGTTACGGGCGTTTTGGTAGTGCATTACACCGACCCTCCTGCGCTTTCGGAATGGCGTGTGCATCAAATTTTGCCAAAGACTCGCCAAAACGGCTACGGAAACCTATGAAATGCTAAAGCAAGCATTTGGGGAGTCCGCAATGGGTCGTGCACAAACTTTTGTGTGGCATTCACGTTTTAAAAATGGCCGAACCTCTGTCGATGATGACGAGCGTTCTGGACGACCATCTTCGAGCACAACGCCCGAAACTGTTACGAAGATCGACGTCGTACCATCAACGACTTGTGCGACATTTTTGGGATAGGCTATGGGACCTGTCAGCTGATTCTAAAGGAAGAACTCCACATGCGACGCATCCTGTCTGAGGCCCAGAAGCAGAATCGACTTCTCGTTTGTCAGGAGTTTAAAGATCTTGCAAGAACCGACCCCACCTTCCTTTCTAAGCTCCGTGTGACTTCTTCCTCTTCCCCAAGATGAAAATTCAGCTAAAGGGAAGGAGATTTGAGACGATAGAAGAGATTCAGGCAGAATCGCAGATGGTGCTTGACAGGCTGACAAAGAAAGATTTCCAGGGATGCTTCCAGGCTTGGCAGCAGCGCTGGGATCGTTGTGTTCACTCCCAGGGGAAGTACTTCGAGGGTGTTGGATGAATTTAATACCTGAGATAAGTGTACGGGTTTTTATAGGCGCAGTCTGGAAAATTTCCGAACGCACCTCGTAGTTATTTGGATGTTTTTTTCAATAATAGCCTCTTATGATCTGCAGAGTGTATAAGATTTAGAATACAATTCCGTGTTGAAATTATACTTCAGTATCTGAATTTATTTTGCTGAATTCAGTAATAAAATGTAAGGAAATGATCATCTCATAATTACATGCAAGTGAAGAAAGGCAACTGTATCACATGCTAGTGTAAGCTTAAAGCAGTCTCCAGGAGGCTGTTGTATACATTCAAAGATGCTGCAGGTTGGCTGTCTTCGGACTCACCGCCGTGGAAACCGCAAATCCTCATATGCTACAGGTTGTTTATTGTAGCCTAATATCATTTATTTTCTATGACTAAATGTTACATAAATAATCTGTTTTAATGTTTTCCATATTGTACTTTTTTGGGGGGCAGGCTGTATCACTTTCTGAAAGTTTTCCTGACTACGAAATCTTGTATAAGATACCAATGTTCTCACACCTATATTGGAATCATCCATTCAGTGCTTACTTACAGTTAGTAGCACTGTCACCTTCTAGCCTCCGATGGCATCACTTTTCTTATACTTCTGATATCTTTGCTTGGCTTCCAGTGAGTGAGTACGTGCTCTTCTCTCGGCTAACATTACCATTCATTCTTTTTCCCAGATTCTGCTGCTGCTGCTGTTTTCCCCCCCATGTCTGCATTTCTGACTAACCTTTTTTTTATGTGTCTCCAGAAACTGATCTAGCCTTTGCTTATGAACTACATGAAAAAAATTTACGCTTGCCGGAAATGATGATTTCTTTTACATATAAAACTTTAAATACAACATTTTAAAGTTGATCATGTTCTCCAATTTCTTAAATAAAATTAATTCTTTACAGTATTAATCTTTTCTGAAAATAATATTGTAGTGTTAGTAAGCATGATTGGTTATTTGTTAGACTTACATAAAGTGTTAAGAGAATATCATAACATTCCACATGCCTTTCATAATTTCATTTGCACCAAATTACATTACATTGCTGATTATCATACATTTTCCATTTGGGAGTTATCACTTGGTATAATGGTAAAAACTGTCTTGCTGTGGTTTTCCTAACTCCTCCAGGCAAGTTTCATGACTGCCTGAAAATAGGACATAACATTTTCCTTCCAAACTGCTTCCAGCTTCCCATGAATGACCTTTGCACTGCATATAACAGTATTCAAACCTTGAAACAGCATTGCTATAATCTGTGATGCAGTCAACTATATACACTCAAAGAATAATGCTTTATAAAGTGTAGGATATCATGTATTAATTTTAAATTAGATCATGGAGAATTTGAGTATGTATATTTCTGAGACATTAAGTACAAAAAAAATAATTATTCAAGCTGTTGTCTAAATATTTTCCAGAATATTATGTTCCATATGGCCCCAGCTGCTGTATTTTATGATTACAGTTTTTTTTTATATATATAAATGCTTCTCTTATTAAATTTCATTTCAGGTATATGCACGCACAGATCCTAACGCAGCAAAACAGCATGGAATTTCAACTTTCATTGTGGAAAAAGGATTTGAAGGTTTCAGAGCAGGCCAAAAACTTGATAAGCTTGGGATGAGGGGTTCAAATACTGGAGAGTTGATATTTGAAGACTGTAAGGTGCCGGTTGAGAATCTTCTGGGAGAAGAGAATAAAGGTGTCTATGTATTATTAAGTGGATTAGATTTGGAGAGATTACTCCTGTCTGGAGGGCCACTGGGGTAAGTTGACATGATTTAAATGTTCTGTTTCTTTCTGAAACGCTTCAGTTACATGCATGCCTAAGTGTGTAGCCAGGGCACTGAGCAAATATGTGTTTAGATGAACACCATAGCTCCAGAGGGCAACAAGAAAGGAGGCGTTCTAAACAAATTGAAATCAGATAATGTTGGAAGTATTTCTACTCAAATAATAAAAAAAAAAATTTAATATTCAGGTAGTGTAACAAAATTATGTAGTACACTAGAAAATGAACCCATTGTGACTTCCAAAGTACAGTTATGAATGTGAGGAAACTTTGACCATAAACAGTAGAATCAATTTTTGAAACTGTGGATGACATTGTTTTGGTATCAAGTCTATTAGAATCATAAGAAGACTATACAAAGTAGACTTTTTGGAATCATAAGAATACTGAGGTCAACCAGGATTTTATGAAAAGTTTGTCATCTTGCCATTCGACCATGGGAGGTCACTTTTTGGCAGAGGTGAGATGTACTTATCCTAAGCTTCCAGGACAAGTCATTGGTAAATATATAAATTCTTAACACAGTAAAGATTTCATATTTTTCCTGCAAATGAGCAGACAGGTCAACAGTAAAGCTAAAAAGTGTCATTGATTATAATACCTATACACGCAGTGTAGATTCTGCTGACCATTGTATTTGTATTACACTGTAATACAAAAGATGGAGTGACAAAAGACCACATCATCGAAATGTACTGATAGTCATGTAAAATGTTTTGCTTTTTCTTTCTTAGAATTTGTGAAATACTTTTTATTTTATGCTGAAGAACCCCTGGACTTTAAGTCCTGCATTTAAAGTATGTAAAAATAAATTTAATATAGGCAGTGAATGTGCTAAAAATCTCTGTGAAATATGAAATAAAATTTAACCCTGACTGTAAAGACTCGGTGAGTAATCAGTCCCAGATAGCTGAATAGTGTATGTGGATAAAATACAGTAGAGTATGTACTATTGTTCAAGTAGCTGGATTTGCTTGCAGTCCATTAACCTTTTAGCCGCTGAACCATCAGGCTCCAAGTTAAAGTCCAGCCAGCAGTCCTGCAGTATGGTGGTAATTCCTGGTTGTCATATGATAAAAGTTAAAGAAAATTAGCCACGTTCTTTTATATACGAGGCTTGTCCACAAAGTAAGTTTCCCTGGGGCCGTTTACAGAAACAAAACACAATTTCATGGAAATATTTATTGCAACAGATACAGCAAGTGTCCAGCTATTTTTCAACATATTCGCCACCGGAATTGAGACATTTGTCATACCGTGGGACCAACTTTTGAATACCTGTGTCGTAGAAGTCTGCCGCCTGGGATTGGAACCACTGTGTGACAACCATCTCCGCCTCTCTGTCATTCTCAAAACGCTGACGCTGACCGGACAGGAATTTCTTGAGGTGTAGGAAAAGATGGAAATCACTGGGAGCGAGGTCCGGGCTGTAGGGTGAATGATTAACCACCTCCCAGCTGAACTCCTGCAGGAGACTTGCTGTCCGTCGAGCCGTGTGCGGCCTAGCGTTATCACTGACCGCACTTCACAGTCGGCGGGAGCTGGAATAAGAACCTCCATCTTCAACAGCTGCAACGATGCTACTGTGAGAACGCGGGAAGTACCGTTAGTGCATGCGCCATGCTACGTCATTGCTCTATCACGTACGCACAATATAAGGTTTGCTAGCTGTGGGACGAGTGGGAAACTTACTTTGTGGACGTGCCTCGTATAATTACTTTTAGACTGGTGTTAAAATGTGTAGAAAATTCACAGTTAGAAGTTTGAAAGTATTCTTATAGAATCTCAGTGTAAATTACCATTCTATTTGTAGACTAGAAATGTTTCATATTATTTTTGAGTGACTCTGATGTAAAGAGAGAATTTTAAAATGCGCTGTTGTGTTGTATGTTATTCTAACAGTGGAATGGTTTAGCAACACTGGACTATGTTTAAACCCACCAGTGTTTGAGCAACTTAGTTGTTCCATGCAACTCAAATCCAATTCAGTTTGAATATTAGTTGAGTGAGTTTAGTGTAATCATAGGCAGAATATCCAATCTTTTCTGCTTGCAACGCTGCATTTAGAGAGACATTTCCAAGTTTATGAGTTTCTAACGAGACTACCACATCATCTAATCAAGCAATTAAAAAAACTTTCTCAGCAGAAAGAATATGAAATATAATGTAGTGCAGATGCAGCTAAGTAACTGCTACATTTTCTATTGAATCTGGGTTGCATTTTAAAATGATCACACTATATCGTTGTCATTATTTTCCAGGATAATGCAAGCTTGTTGTGACGTTACTTTCAAGTATGTTCATGAAAGGAAACAATTTGATAAAAGGATTGGAGAATTTCAGTTGATGCAGGTAAGTTGTTATAGGTGTGATTAATATAAGAAAAGCCATTTGCAGTTAAAGAATGCATGAAAAATAACATTCTTAAACAATGCTGAAAATTCAGAATAAAGGCTTATATTAACTGAAGATGGCTGTCTTCTGGGTTATTGAGCCGTCTTGTTTGTTAGAGGTTTACTGACATTTTAGAGGTGCTTGCTGCTTCCATTTTCAGGGCGATTTAACTTATACGAGGCTACACGGCCCAACAACCAGAAGACAGCCACTGTCGTGAGAGCCTGAAATCTCACAAGGGCCCATATTAACATTTATTTAAACTGTCTTGTGTAATGTATTTGCATTTTGTAGAGGTTATAAGAATGATGCTGACCCATTAATTTATGGAGTTTCTTTAGAAAGGTGTAGCATACTTTGAACATCATTTAAGTGAATTTTAAGTTATCTTTTCGTTGCATTTATCAGACACTTTTAACTAGAAAGAAAGTCATAAAATAAGACTGAATTTGCTATAATGCCATTCAGGAAGAACAACACAGGGGTGTGCAAAAATACATTTTGTTCAGTATTAATTTTGAATCAAGAGTTTTGTTGTAACTGCGTGCTACTGATAAATATCAACGTCGGACAGCACCAATGCACTACCATAAAGCAGAGGCCAATGAATTAATTAAACTATCCAAGAAAATTCTTTCTTATGTGCTAATACTGACATGGAACTATATTTTTATGAGGGGATATGACAGGTTTCCATGATGTTTAGTATGAAGATGGCTGTCTTCTGGGATGTCTTGTGTCATGTAGTCTGGTAGATATCAACCAGGATCTTACTGGCTCCATCATCAAGTGACTCTTCTCCTTGATGATGGATGTAGTAAGCACCTCTGAAACAGTCAGTTTCCACGAGACTACCTGGCACAGCATCCCAGAAGACATCTGTCTTATGTTTTATGAATCTGTACATAAAGTGCTTCAAATTAATATGTAATAGGGATTATTTTTATAATCATATGTTTTTCTTAAAAATAGCTCTTTATAGAACAGACACATTTTGTTTATGTTTTTGACTTTTTTCGGTAGTGTACATGAAGTACTAGGGGTATGATTGGTTGAAATCAGTGCTACATAAAAATACTATTTTGGTCTCATATCAGTTAATATAATTCCTGAGAAAGTCACTCGTTTCTCTAGAAAAATGAACACAACTCAGAGAATGAAATCATGTAATCCAAAAGTTCTCAACTTGTGATCAGCCAGTATGCTTTATGAGGTCTGCATACATCTTTCTGCATTACATGTAAGTAACTTTTGTGTTACGTGAGTAAACGTTGTTTGCTTCTGAAGTGTTATTTATGCTGACTTGTGAAATGTGCATTCCTTTTATGCGTGCTATTATTTTATATTAACTCACTTTTTTATGACTGTTTCCTGCACTTTCTTTGTAGTTGTTCAACCATTCGTGTGTCTGCCTCTGTCTCTCAGCATCACCACTGATTTCTTTGTTACTTATGATGAGTGTGACTGTTGTCACATTTGTCATTTCCTTTTTACCGTGATATCTGAGGAGTGACTCCTAAAGAATTGTTCCTTTTATATTTCTGTTTCATTTGGAGTTTTATAACTGTTCCCGTTAATATAATGCACCATTTTCCCCACAGCCTTTACATGTTGCCTTCATAATACAGACATATCGGATGTCCCCTTTGATTATCATATTGATTTCAAATTCAAGCCCTTTGATGTGATTTTACAGAACTAATATGTGTGGACTTCTTCAATATTTCTGTTTCGAAAGAAAAGTTTCAGCTGATGAATGATTCCTGGCTTGTAACCCGGGAATCTTTCACCAGCTTCAGTCGCTGAATTGAGGCACCCTGTTGTGTACCCCTTTGGTTCTAAGAACCATGTTTCAAGCGCACAGGAAGTTGCCAGGCTGAAAGCATTTTGTTGCCCTTTGGAAACAGATCCAAGTGTGAAGATATCCGTCTATTATTCATCGCCCTGATGACGGAGGCAGTATGACCTCTGAAACGTTGGTTAACATCGACCAGACTACACAGCGCAATAACCCAGAAGACGGATATCTTCATACTCACCGCTGTGAGAACCTCAAGTCTTACAGATCCAAGTGTGATGAAATATTATTTAGGCAGGACAGTTGATACACAGGAAGCATGTGCACAACCCAGGGATTTCAAGAGATTATAAACTTGAAGTTAGGTTGTTTCAAGTGCTGAAGTCTGAGATGCAGTTTATTGTTATTCCTTCTGCATGCAAGATAAAAGAATTACTTTTAAGAGAGGTTTCAAGATGAAGATATAACTCAGGAACTGATTTTAGACTCTGATATTGATGCACACAAATCTGAAGATGACATTTCTCCTCAAAGGCGCAGTGACGCTGAAGAGGACAAGAGGACAGACATAGGCAGTAGAGATGGGACCAACACCACACAACCTCAGCCTTCTACATCTGTGACACACAAATTTAAAGGGGGCCAAGTGGGTTGAGACAAAATGAGGCACCACACATAAATAAAGACTTTTCCCCACTGAGCATGTTCATGGCCTTTTTTCTTGAAATTATACAACTTCAGGTAGAAGAGACAAAGAGGTATTACTATAAATACCTGGACGCACTTGATGAAGGATGCCACCCACTACCTGAAATGACTGTACAAGAAATTTATTTGTTCTTATTTATTATTGTGCAGATGAGTCACCGTCAACAACACACACTCAATGGCAACTGCTCCACGCTACAACAGTTCTTTATGTCCGTTTATGGGAACACAATGAAATGAAATAAATTCTTTCATATACTGAGATTTCTGCATTTTACTGACAACAAAAATGACAGATGAAAATTATGATAAGTTGTAAAAAATGAGAACTATTTTCTATTTACTCAGTGGTGCATATGCTAAATATTACAGCTTTCATACGTCACATCTCCCAAACTTGTGTTTTTACAGACAATAGGATAAATCAGGGATCGGCAAACTACGGCCCACGGGCCAAATCCGTCCCGCCGCCTCTTTTTGTACGGCCCACGAGCTAAGAACGGATTTTACATATCTAAATTCTTTGAAATTTCAAAGTACGCGCTATAACGAAACAGCCGAGTTGAGTAGTTGAGAGAAAGAATTCTATAAATGTCTTCCAAGCGATGAATACGGTCAATTAAGATCATATGCTCGGGGATTTATATCTGTATTTGGCAGCGCCTACCTGTGTGAAAAGACATTTTCAAAGATGAAATATATAAAATCTCAATACAGGTCAGCATTAACGGATGAACATTTACAATCAATTTTGATGATAGGGAGTACTGAATTAAAACCTCAGTTTGGTGAAATGTTATCTCATAAACAGGTAATTCCATTCTTCTCATTAGTAGAGCTGTATTTCAAACAATTGTAGTCTACTTATTATTATTACGTTACATTTTGTTCAATAAATTTGTTAAAACTTGGTTTTTCATGTTACATAAGTAGGCTTACCTATATAAATATCCTCGAGTTTGCCTCTTGGCCCGCAGAGCCTAAAATATTTACTATTTGGCCCTTTAGAAAAAATGTTTGCCGACCCCTGGGATAAATGAATGGTACAGCACTGTGTTTGCTTTTATTCACTCTTAATTTATGTTACCTGAATTGTGTATAGAGCTAAGGAATAATAATTTGTGACTTTGCTCTTTGTTGTGTGAAATGTAGTTGGCTTTTTGCAATATGTAATTAGTTTGCGCATGCAGTAAATGAAGCAAATGTTAGTAGAGTTTGTGAACTTTTTTTATTCATTCATGTGAAAGTGTGGACTATAGACTCATAAATGTTATCAGTGGTAGCAAGAAGTGTATTTTTGTTTTCAGCAAATTAAAAAATTTTGAATCTTCAGAAATATGATTATTTTAATACAATTTATTTGTTTAGTCTGTTTTTTATCTTTAAGAATCCACTTGTCTTCTGAATTTTTAGCACGTTTTATTTAGATTAGTATGTCTCAAGTGCTACATGGATCACATTTTAAAGAAAGAAAGAAGAATAGATTGTTCTCTAGCAATTATTTGTACTACAACAACGTATTTCACTTTGTTTCAGGCTAAAATAGCAGACATGTATACTACACTGAATGCTTGTAGAAGCTATCTGTATAATGTTGCAAGGGCTTGTGATGGAGGACATGTGAACAGGAAGGACTGTGCAGGTGTATATTTATATTTAGCTGAGAAAGCAACTCAGCTTAGCCTGGACAGCATTCAGTGTCTTGGTGAGACTCTCATTTAAAATGTCTTATTCTATTTATAAGTATTCTAGCTAGTTCTTGAGTTTTCCTGTCTGCAAATTTTGAATTAACTCATGTGTACAAACTTGAAAAATAACAGCATTTGTTTAAAACATATTTAAGATTTATACATGTTAGGAAAGCCTTCACTTTATATGACTTATTTTATTATACGATTCCTTGTTACTGCATTTATCGTACAATTAATAGAAATAAAAATGGTAATAGTTCAGGAATAACATTTGTGGAATGATGTTTAAAAGAAATGCATTTTCAGACTGGTATGAAGCCAGAAACAAGAGAAAGTTGTTGGTCTCTTGAATTCATAGTACGAGGGTCGCTCATTAAGTAATGCCCCACATTTTTTTTCCTCAGAACATATTTATTCAAGATGGCTGAAATTTAGTGACAATATAAATCAATGTTTCCTTTACACATACTATTTTTCCACATAGTCCCCATCAACTTGTACGGTTTTACGCCAGCGTGGAACAAGTGCATGCATGCCTTGCCGGTACCAGCTCTTGTCCTGTGCACGTAGCCATGTCCTCACTGCTTGAATCACGCTCTCGTCATCTTCAAATCTTGTTCCGCGGATAGCATCTTTAAGGGGCCCAAAGAGATGGAAGTCGGAGGGTGCCAGATCTGGACTGTAGGGGGGATGGGGTAGCACCGTCCAACCCAATTTGGTGATTTCTTCCCGGGTTCTCAGACTTGTGTGAGGGCGTGCATTGTCGTGCAGGAGCAAAATTTCTGCTGGATGCTTGTGAGGCCAAACTCGTCGAAAACGCTTCTTGAGGGTTTTCAGGGTCCTGATGTACGCGTCTGAATTGATGGTCGCACCTCTTGGCATCACATCCACAAGAATGACCCCCAACTATATACTATATGCCTGTAAGTCCCACTCATATTTCACTCATAAGTGATGTGTGCACGTGTGAGATTAAATGTGTCAAGTTGTTTGGTTATGGAATGTAGCATCATTGATGTAATGCATGAAAACTTAAAATCATACAATTTCTTACACACACACACTAATTCTGAGTGCCACTGGTCTTCTGTGACGCAGAACAGTTGATAATATTTTGTCTCTGTTAATAAAAATGGAGAGAAGTGTCAAAGAAAATCTGCATTGTCACTGTTTTGCTCTTCCACGAGTCACCAAATTCTCAGATATGTATTTTTACTTCATGCTTTGTATTCAGATCTCTGCCACGGTGGTCTAGCGGTTAGAACGCTGGCCTTGTAATCCTGGGGTCTCGGGTTCGATTCCCGGCGGTGCCCGAATTTATAACTTGTGTTGGGCAAGGCCGTGGTCTAGGCAACACGGAGTTTTCCTCCGTGGCATCCCAACAATTACTCCATTCACACACAGAAGAAGGCAATGGCAAACCACTTCTGGATCATCTGCCAAGAACGTATATGAACAGGTCCCAGTCCGAGAAAAGGATGGAAGGATCCTGTTCATATGGACCTGTCGTCAGACAGAACACTACAAATAAAAAAAAAATAAATTCAGATCTAAGCGCTTCCAGTTCATTGCTGTACTTAATGTTGAGCACCTTACCTTAAAATTATTAAGCACAACGGCAAAATAATTTTCATCTCCTCTTCACCGGCCTATTGACATAATTCACAATGAAACAAGAAAACATTTTCAAATTTCAAAAATCTTTGCCATGATGTGGATTGAAAGGTTGAGTGTCAGCCAGCAAGTGTCACTTTTGTCTGGTATGTTGTGTCATAAATCATTTCAGGTTGAGCATATAATTTAAACATGTATTATCAGAAGAGAGTTACATTAAATTCTGAAACTAACCGTAACTCCCAGTCACAGTTTGCTGTTGTCAGGTTGTCATACAGACAAAAGCAGAAGACAGAAGTAATGCGTCTGTTACATTGTACACCCATTCCTCAATTTACGAACATAATTCATTTGATTAAAACTGGCTGTAAGATGAAAATTTGTAAATCAGAAATGAAGTTCCTATTTTTTTCAATGGAAAACATTCTGACTGGTTCCCAAGTTCCAGAAAAATCACCCAAAGTTTTACCCACATATGTCAGAATATTATACAATCATAAAAATAAGAACAGTATTTTTTGTGATAGGTGTTGCCTATTTAACCCTGTAAAATGCTATTGAAGTGTTAAATCAGATGTTTACATTATGCAACAGATACCATAGTTACAGTATAAACGTCAGAACTTAAGTATTCTGCCGCTAAGCTAATGTGAACATGTTTCCTCATTGATTCACACATGCATGTGTTATTCCCTTCCAATTGATTGGGTTTCCTCATTGTAATCAGTTCACTTAGTCTGAACTCATGTAATATGTAGTTCAAGCCTTGTTCTAAATGGACTAATGACATCCAGGTCATACCGACTCTTTTATCATGTGTTTGAAACCTTCCTCGAAAGACCTGTGCAAAGCAACCAAAACCATTTATGTTCCTAGTAAGTCCTTTCTCTTAAATACTTAATTTATTAATATATTTTCACAGGTGGCAATGGCTACATTAATGATTATCCAACTGGCCGACTATTAAGGGATGCAAAAATTTATGAAATTGGTGGTGGAACAAATGAAGTAAGAAGGATTGTAATTGGACGATATCTAAACTCTGAATATTCATAACTGGATATGCTAAAACCATTTTAAAGCTGTGCGGAAAGTTATGAAGGTCAAGGTAAGTGTGTAGAACATAATTAAAGTTCGTTTTCTATTCAGACCACACATTCGTGCTAGTGAGAACACATTACTATTTAAGGATGCTGCATTCTCTGCAGAGATTATGTTATCATTACATATGATGAGATAATTATGAGCAGTGATTTGGAATCGATAAGGGAAGAAGTGGCCATAGCCCACTTGAGGGTACACTGTCATAGTATTCATCTGAAATGCAAACAAGAAAGCCAAGAACACATTCAGATTAGCCAGTAACCTTGAGTGAGACTTCTAAAATGTCATTCCAGAGGATATGAGAGCAGCTGGCTGTTCTAGTGGGCTTAAAATTATGTTGATACTACTGTAGCTGTCTAAGATGTCGTTATTCTCTCTCACTTTTCATGTTTCATCATTACAGGTGGAATGTTGGAATGCAGCAATGAAACTGAGTGCAGCAGAGTAAATATATGATTCAGCGACATATCATTCTGACATTTGCAGCAGGAAGCTTCAAAAAGTAAAAATAATAAAATTCAGACAGCCAGAATGGAAGAAATGCATTAAATATTATATGTCACATAATACAGTGATCTTACTTTAGGCTGACATGAATTTCAACCTTATTACAATGACAATCTGGAATTGTATTAAAAAGGGTTACTAATAAGTAATGTAATATCTAAGCACTGTTAAAATAAATTGTAAGTGGGTATTGCAATCTCTGTGTACATACACACCTTTGCAGTGTGTGATTTTTTGTAAAATTCTTAGTGCACTGTTTACATTTCATTGAATTGCTTATCATGGGATTTTAGAATTAATTTTAATTTCACATTTTTAAGCATTCAGCATTTCTGACTACATTAGAAATGTAAAAATTTCTTGGACGTACATGATCTCTTGTGTTTCTGCATGTAGACTGAGGCTTTTCTCTGACTGTGCTTGTTTTGAATGCCTATATCAATTAACAACTCACAATCCATTTTCCTGTTAGTATTATCATATATTCTTGTATCCTACATAAGGGAATGGAGGCTGTTCATCACAATTCATCTCACATCCATTGCCTGCCGTATACAAGACATTTTGAAATAACCCTACCTCATATCCACCTTGAAAATGGCAACTGCAGAATGTTTGTCAACACCAAATAACCGACATGGCTGTCACCCGAAAGCCACAGTTATGCATTGAATTCCAGGCACAGAAACCTACAGCATTTCTGTTCCTATTGACCATTTGACGAGCCAATCTCCCACAGCATAAAATAAAGGAGGATGGTCTCCAAATCTTTATTTTCTTTATTCATTTTTAAAACTGCTGAACATTATTGAGGAAGTTGTTCTGTATTGCCCCGCTACATAACTTTTTGGTGAGCACTTGAGTTCACAGTTTTTTACTATCTTTTGTTTTGTGTCATGTGTAAGTTCTGTTTCAGACTTTGGCCTGTTAACACAGCAGGAAATGTACCACTCCTATTACAGGAAAGACAGAAAAAACAGTATAATAATACTCTATGAATGAAACTACACTCATTATTCACATAGTGCTTGACATTCCTTATTGGCTAAAATTTTACCAACTCAGACTGCATACATGATGAGATGCAAGGTGTGGAATTGCAATTGGTAAAGTCGACAGGGTAAACAAGATGTGTCGGAGTATGAGCTAAAAACTGGCTCCTTAGTAAAACTGCACATTCAGTTAGTGCAAGAATTTCAGGAAATAACTGTAGGAAGTAAGGAATAGCATGTAGTGACATTGCTGGAAAATAAGGATCACTCATTGAATTTTACAGATGGCTACCCTAATTTTATACATTATTTGCATATATTATGGTAAGGAATTGAAGGTTACTGTTTTTTCAGTATTAACAGGAAATGTGGAACTTGTTTTTTTAGCTGTTACGCTGTGCATTAATCATGGGGTAAGAATAAGCAATTTACACGAAGCAGGTGTGCTGGATGCTTGTGGCTTGTACACTTTGTGCAACAAAATTAAGTCCTTTAAATTTTCTGTCTGAAACCAGAAGTGATGGAAGCGTAAACATGGTGTCATAATTCCTGTCATTCATAATATTCTTGAATATGTCTCTATATGGCTTTTCTTTTTTTATTATTATTATTAGTGTTCTGTCTGACGACAGGTCCATATGAACAGGATCCTTCCATCCTTTTCTCGGACTGGGACCTGTTCATATACGTTCTTGGCAGATGATCCAGAAGTGGTTTGCCATTGCCTTCTTCTGTGTGTGAATGGAGTAATTGTTGGGATGCCACGGAGGAAAACTCCGTGTTGCCTAGACCACGGCCTTGCCCAACACAAGTTATAAATTCGGGCACCGCCGGGAATCGAACCTGAGACCCCAGGATTACAAGGCCAGCGTTATAACCGCTAGACCACCGTTTGCCTTCTGTTAATGACAGTAATCTCATGATTTTCTGTGAACAGATTATCCAGCTTTTGGATTATCCATGCATTATTTTTTCTTGTGTGAAAGTAAAGACGTGTGAGCTAGGCTTTTGTCCTCTGCACTGTACCATCTGCTTCTGGAGGGGGTGACAGTTCCATTTCTTTGCTTTGCATATGAAGGTGGGTATTATGAGTTTTTATCAGAATTCCCATGATTTACTATATTTCTGTTCCCATATTTACTTTTTAGGAAGGAACATAGCCCCACTATAATGGTTTTTGATTGATCTCACGAGTGTATTGGTGGCTTCTCATGGAATTTTAAAGTGCAGTATTCTTTACCCTGTGGCATACTTTGTTGGCTGCACGACATAACATTTGTTCGCAGTGTATTGCTAATCGTAACAAGTTTTGTCAATTGGTTCACGGCTGCTTTAAGGAAATTTGGGAAGCAGAATCTCAAAACATCTGTTTAAGGAAATACATCACATTGCAAACTTCATTCTGAAAAGGGAACCATCTTCAAGGAAACAATACATGTATGGCCTTTTACTTTACTTTTAATACAGAACTGTGTGAATAAACAATGGAATACCAGCTGCGTGCAATTGTATATATGTTAATTAACAAAGATATTAATCACTTGATTAAAAAAGCTTGAACACAATCTTCAAAATCGCAGCATTTTTATACTTGTATAAATGTAATTACTGTTTATTAACATGACCTGCCAGAATGTTATGGCACCTCACATTTTTTTTGTGAATCAACTTCCATACTTTGTAAACAGCAATCCAATTTCATTCATGCAAATATAAATCACGCAGGTTCAAGAACAATAAGGGATATTGGCTATACACACTCTTATACAGACTGAGACTTAAAAGATGAAAATTGTACATGAACATTCTCTAACAAATTCATTAAAGACATACAACTTACTATCAATTTTGTAACATTGACATGTGCGCATACTTCACATGTGTATCACATCTAGATGGCAACTGTGCATGTCTGCAATGACACTACCTGCAGAATTATATAACAATCACTCCACCACGTAATCTTGAAATTATGTATATAAATGTAGAGTGTAACAATGAATATTACTTATATAGAAAAAAAATTGCACTCAGCATAAATCGTTGAGTAAACTATGTATCAACGCATTAAGTGCCAACATGCTTCATAAGATAAGGCGACTGTCCATGGAATGAATGTATACTAAACCATTATGAAATTTAATTTCACACTTTATTCAATTTACTATACAGAAGAACAATATCTGCTACTTTCATCCCACTTACAAAAGTTATCCTGGTACTGAAGCAGTTACAATGCTATTAAAACAATTCAGTGATTTCTAACAGTATTCTAGAACTTTTAAATTACAGAAAGTGGGAGATCTTACATGTTTACAATATAATGAAGTTATTCTACATTTCCAATGCAAAAGCAACAAAGAATGTGAGTATAAATTATTCCTACCATACAAACATCTCTACCACTTCTCATGTTACTATTAACAAATACATACTATGACTTAAGAATTATTCTGAGTTCAAACTATTTTCAACCTTGCATGAAGAAGTTATAAAAATTTAAGATGTACTGGTTAAACTTGACGAACATCTACCACACAAGTAGAAATTACTTGTGCAGGAATGAGATACTGGAGCTAGTATACATTAATTCTAATTTTCTACTGTCAGGCTCCTTGTTAAGGTTTTTAAACATCAAAATGGTCAAGAGATTTAATTCTAATATAAAAGATAATTCAAACACAGCAACACAATCCCAGTCCTTCCCAGGAAAAATTCACAGAACATAAAGAATGGTACACATAAGACACTATGGAAGAAACCAAGTTCAAATTTTTTTTCTGCAAGAAACACGAAACCACTGAATATGGTATGTTCCAAGTTTATGAGTGATCACATGCAAGTGACAAAGTAAGATAGTCACCACTGTGTGACCAATCTTTGTATTAATTATCTGGCAGGGTATAACGAACATAAGGAACTTCCACATCATTGCCATCACTGTCATTACAGCACAATTCAAACACAAGTGCCCTGACATGGGGTTCCAACCTCTTCTTGGAAACCTTCTTCACTACTTCAGACATGGGGAGATTCATGCGCTCCACACACTTCGGTTTGGCCATGAAGAAGGAATAGAGCATGCACACCCCTTGTGACAACATCGTGATCTCCAAATTATATTTCTCTTTGAAGTAATCCAGGAACTCTCGTAGGGTTAGCTCTCCCTCCACTTCAAAGCGATCCCAAAGAGTCCATTCCTCTTCATAATACTTCATCTTTGGGGCAGCAATGGGTTCAGAAAAGCCAAAGAAGGGAAGAGCCAGGTTCACAAAGCCGTTCTTGAAACGCTCCAATGTCTTGAAACCTTGTGCAAGTTTGTACAATTCAAGACACGCTAAACCTGCAATTACTGAAGTTGTGGTGGCAATGGCAGGAATTATTTTGCCTGCAATAAGCTTGCTCTTATGACGATCTGCTGATGGAATATTGTAGTTAGCAGCACGGAGATTGGAAGAAGCAACAATGAAGTCCATATGCAGGTTGGTGTCATTATCTTTTTCAAACACCAAGGGCGTTATTATCAGTCCTTTCAGTTCATCTCTGGAAGGAAGTTCCTTTTGCAGCTGATTGATTCGATCATGGTCCAAATTTCCAGCACCATTTGACACTTGCATTTGGGAATCTGTGACTGCAATCTTCACTCCTGATTTAGGGATGAACTCAGGAACATCAACATTCTCTACCATACTTGCTATTATTTCTCGGTTTCGGTTCTGTGTAATCCCATACACTTCGGCCTTTAGATTAGCGGCAGCAAGAATATAATCAATATGCAAAGGATCATCCACTGAAAATGTAAGTGGCGTTGGGCAACGTTTTGGTCCTGACCAGAAAGGCTGACCACTTGATGTAAGTTGATCAGGAGGAAAATTGAACAGGAGTTGTCGAATCTGGTCATTATATTGTTCCTGCCAATAACAGCGTGCCCATGCAACACAATCTTCAAATGATCTTGGACGATGATCTACAAGAGCATGCTTCACAGACTCCAAAACCTCCAAGGGCTGAACGCCTGGTAACTTCAAAGTACGCTCCACAAATGCAGAATCTGCCAAGTACTGCGCCGCATTCTCGGCAGCTTGCCGAAACAAGCCCTCAAAGCTATCTCTTGCCCACTGTAGTGTATGCTCAATAGCATTTGGAAAGTTCTTCAATGTACAAATTGGGATACTTTTCTCTGGTGGATCTTGGGATGAACTATACGATTCAGTAAGGAAAGGTACAACAACCTGTGTATTTCCTTTTGTGCCCAAAGTGCCAGATTCAAGAAGAGGCTTGCGATAATATACACAACGCCGATCCATGTAAATTCGGCCATCTACATTATCAAGGGCATTAGCTACACCATCCAGAGACTCAAAAAAAGCATCATCATAAACTCGTTCAGTCTCTGGACCAACACGATTCTCGTGAGCCACAACATTTACTGCAGGATTCATACGTCGTACGGCTTTTGCTGCACATAGAGATTTGGGGCACTGTATATCTGAAGTGCGGAAGAGGAACTGCCGGTTCAGGTTCGATTTTTCAATCAGATCCATATCGGTAATTGTTACCTGACCCCCTTCTGAAGTGCCTATTCCCATCATAGCAAAATTCTTCAGAAGTTCACAGCCTATGGCACCAGCCCCAACCACAAAGTATTTTAGTGCACCCAGACACTGCTGGAATGTGCTTCCAAAAACAGCTACCTGACCATCATATCGCGTCCCCGCTGCTTTGCAGTCCTCTTCCTTGATTTGAGACAAATCAGAGGGCAGACATTCCAAAGCGTCAAAGTACAGCCACTGGTAAATGGGGTTAAACTTACCGCTGCAAGCCTTCATAATTTCTTGTGCAACAATTCCTCCAACAGCAGCACTGAGTGGGGGGATATCACCAGAGGATATTTTGGAAAATGTTTCTAGCAACTCTGTGTTAAGTTCTTCATCATTTCCACCAGCCAAGCTCGTAGATTTAGCTAGGGCCACAAATACACCTGCATCTTCCTCATTCCAAGGTTTAGGTGCTTCTCCATGTTGCTCAATGTACTTGTGCAAGGTAATGTATGCAAGGTGAGTTTGAGAAGGCCGTTCAAATTTTGCAAAATCTGTGATGACAAATTCAGGTTCCTTAATGGATTCCTTTAGAGGCTTAAAATGTATAAATTTTGGCATCTTTACCTGGGTAACAATCCCACCTCGTTTGTATTCGGAATATGTGCTGGTGTCACCAATGCTAAATGTATAAGGACCCAAGACACGAATCTTCTTGGGTGCACAACCATTTAATTCACTCATACCAAGGACTTCTGAGAATGTCACATAGTCTCCATCTTCTAATCCATGACGTGTTTCATCTAAACAGGTGACCACTCCCTCTGGTTCCTGTGAAATACTAGCTATCATTGCTGAAACTGGGTTTTCCCCTGTGGTGTCAACAACAGTAAATTTCTTCCCAAAGTCACAAAATACCTGCGCAAATAAACCCCTTGTATCTGCAATAATGAGGGCAATGTCATTTTCATGTGTCACTTCAGCAATCCTCAACTGCTCCTTCAGACTGCTATTTGTCAACACAACTACCCTGAATTGTTTTAAGAAGTCATCTGTAAGTTGCCCATTGTAAGCTTTCGTAGGAACATACATATTTAGCTCCGACAGCTGTGTCAAACATGCTTCTGCTCTATTCTTCCCGATATCTGATTCTGTTAGGTAGAACTGGGATGTCAAATCTGCAACCTTGCATACGGCTTCGTCATGCAGCGTCACTGACTTTACACCACCTAAAATCACATTTTTCGCCACCTCTACACCCAGTCCTCCTAGCCCAGAAATAAGAACATCTGATGTTGCCATACGGCGCATAGCCTCATAACCCAACACATATATTTGCCTTGAATACAGTGACTCGTCGATTACTTCGCTGGAATGCGATGAACCATTCTGCGCCATGTCTGATGTAGCCAGTGAAACGGATTTCGCTGCAGTGGAGTCTCCTGTAGCAAGTTTCCGCTTCTTGGCTGGAGGATCAACGGAATTGTCCACCACTTCAGCACTAGACATCGGACACAAAGGCCGTTTTATCAGGTAATTTGTTTTAGAAGACAAAGACGTACCACTGATTATTTTCTTTTTATGGTATGCGAGGTAGTTGCTCAACCCTACCTAAAAAGACGACAATTGAAGCGTGGATCGCAGTAGCACAAAGCGGAAGTGAATTTCGTAATGAAAAATTCGTGAGTCAATTTAAAATCTTCTTGTTCTCGTTTACATCTGTGGTTTAAAACAACAAAGCAAAACATACAGTAAGTTACATCCATATGTCACAAATAATGTACATAATAGGTATACATGTTATAATTGGTACATAGAGTTTTAATGTATGGAAAGGCATAGATGTTACTTAGATGTTTGCTACACGAGTCGCAACTTTGTCATAAACGTTGCAATGAATTTTGTCGGTATACGATAGATGGCATGAACTACCGTGAAGAAGGAGCAACACCTGGGGTGCGTTTAGTAATGACTGTTTTTCATGTGGGTGAGTGTGTGTGTGTGTTAGGGTATTTTAATCTTATGCCGGAACAATAGCTGGCAAGACAAATTTTAGTTATAGAGTTCTGGAATTTTTAAAGCATGTTTTAACTTTTATGAAGATTCAAAGAAGGAGACAAATAAAAATCGTACTGATCAGATTTTTTTGTATTAGTCAGATACTAGAAAAAAATTGACAGTGGAGCCACGGTTCCGGAGAATCTGACGTAAATGCGCAGACGCAGAAGTAGCGTGAAGTGCGATGCGCCTTTGTTTGTATAAATAAATGTTTGTAGAACTTAAACCATTTGTGATATGTAAAATTTGAAAACAGATATGGAAAGCTCAAGAGGTAATACGTATTTCGTACGCAACATGTCCGATCCATCTCTTACGGTTTTCGAGAGGCGGGCGTAGATTTCTTAATAATTCTTATATAAGATAAGTAATTGTGATATTCTAAAACGTTTTTAACAGCACAAAATTATTTACTCTACGACGCACTTCTTCTACAACCGATACACAGCTCAGCTCTTTCCGCAATAACGAAAGCGGATTGTTGACGGCGATAATGTAACACGACAATGCCGAGTAAACAGATGACGATTCCTAGGTAACATAACAATGCACGCAAGCTGACCATTGTTGTCGGTTCATATTTACACATTGTTGATACGCATTTTACACCGAATGACACTGACCCTAAAATATAGACGTATTTACGTCAAAAATGGGAGTACAATAAGGCAGTACATCAGCTATTAATAGGCTTAATGAATGTCTATGATTTATTTAAGAGGGAAGTAGTGTGCAGTATTGTCGCTGTGTTTGGCATACCCAAGAAAATATTTTGGCGTTTAAATGTGTTTGCATTAAAACAAAAGCAAACTCAGTTTAGGTAAACATTTATCTGACACGCTTACTGTTTAAAATGGTCTGAAACAAGGAAAGCTTTACCGCCATTGTTTTTCAACTTTGTTGTAGAATACGCCATTAGGGAGGTTAGAGAAAACTGTGTGGGACTGAAATTGGATCGGACGCGTCAGCTTGTGGTCTGTGCTGATGATGTAATTATATTGGAGGATAACGTAAATACCATAAAGAATAACACAGAAGCACTAATTGAAGCTAGTAAATAAGTTTGTCTAGAAGTAAACACAGAGAAAATTAAGTGTATGTTTATGTCATGTCACTATAAAATTGTAACGTAAAGATAGCTAATTAATCCTTTGAAAATGTGGCAAAGTTCCGATTAAATTCGGGTAATGTTTTTTACCATTCAGTTCAGAATCTTCTCGTCTGCTGTCTAAAACTCAAAGATTAAAATATACACGATTATAATTTTGCCTGTAGTTTCATATGGAAGTGAAACTTGGTCACTGACTCTAAGGGAGGAACGTAGACTGAGGGTGTTTGCGAACAAGATGCTGATGATAATATTTGGACCCAAGAGTGATGAATATAATTATATTGGTCAAGGCAAGGAGGATGAGATGGGCAGGGCATGTAGCCTGCATGGTATAGAAGAGAATTCATATAGGATTTTGGTGGGCAAACCAGAAGGAAAGTGACCACTATGAAGACCTAGATCTGGATGGAAGGAAAATGTTACATAGGATCGAATATAAATAGGATAGGGTGGTATGGACTGGATTCATCTGGCTCAGGATAAGGACCAGCGGTGGGCTCTTGTGAACATCGTAATGAACCTCCAAGTTCCATAAAGTTTTTGGAATTTTTTGAGTTGGTGAGTGACTGATGGCTTCTTAGGAAGGACTTTCACCTAGGTCAATTTTTGCAAGGCATAGTCTCCCATTTCTAGCAATGCGTTTTGTACCTTAGTAAGGGACGATGTCTCGCGCTTGCGCAGGACTCCGGCCGTAAGTTAGCTTTGTGATTGGTTGGCGAGTGGATCACTGGACATAGCGGAAATGAGTGGACGTGATGAGGAGGACAAAGGATTAAGGAAATATATGCGGAGAAATTGATGGATTAAAATAAAGGACTGTCCTAAAAGGGACAGTGTAGTTGCCTAGTGCCCAGGTCGTGACTGGAGATACTCGCGTTTCCCGTAAAAGAGGCTTATGAGCCAACTACCGTTCAAGTGCTCTATAAATACTCGACGTTAATGTTTTGGTTTCTCGTCTATAAGCGCGCCAGTTGTTCACAATTGTGCAGCTGTAAACTCCACAGAAAATACCAACTGTGGGTAAACAAATACGCGTCCCACACGCCATGAATCACGTGCCCCGAATGGGTAAGGGCTGTACAGAGGAAAGACGCAGTCATAAAATAAATCTAATTGGGTTTAACAACATGAAATGATGTCGAATTGGCCCCACAGCTTTAAAAATTTGAAAACGATAGATGATTTTCGAGGCACAAAGCAACAACAAAAATTCTACAGAACAAATGTCCACTTTGAAAGTCATAACTTGTTATTAATCTGTGGCTGCTTGTTCTCCTGATGACTGAAATATGTTGACGTATCCAATTAGTCAAGCTGCTTGTGTGTTTAATGATTTTAAACCGTATTTCAGAATTGAAATGTTACTCTGCGGATGATTAAGCTTTCCCAGCGTTTTGTTTGTCTTTCGAGTTCATAAGGAACCTTACGCGATCCGTGTCGTAGGACAGAGCGAGTTCAGACGCCGCACGGCCTTGTTCTGCTCCGGCAATGCAATCGTGAGTTCGACTCCAGAGCGCGCTCTTTTCGTGTACAGTTGGAGGCCGATCCGCCATCTTATTATTATTATTATTTAGTGTTCTGTCTGACGCCAGGTCCATATGAACAGGATCCTTCCATCCTTTTCTCGGACTGGGACCTGTTCATATACGTTCTTGGCAGATGATCCAGAAGTGGTTTGCCATTGCCTTCTTCTGTGTGTGAATGGAGTAATTGTTGGGATGCCACGGAGGAAAACTCCGTGTTGCCTAGACCACGGCCTTGCCCAACACAAGTTATAAATCCGGGCACCGCCGGGAATCGAACCCGAGACCCCAGGATTACAAGGCCAGCGTTCTAACCGCTAGACCACCGTGGCACGATCCGCCATCTACCGGTTGCTATTGGACGTTCGAAGAGAAGCTCTTTATGAATTCTGAGGCCTATTCTCAGTCTGTCAGAGTGAATTGTGCCACGTCATCCCCCATCCAAACAACTGCCTGCTCACTGTTCGTCACCACAATCCGAAGTTCTTTGAGACTGTTTGAAAACCGTCATTAAACAGCTCAAGAACTGTTTTCTAACAATTCTCTAGACTCGTATGCGGAAGGACAAACTTCGAATCCCGATGCAGTGTCCGCTTGTCCTTATAAGTTCTTTCTGGCTGTCCTCACTATCTCCAGGGCAATGCCAGGATAGTCCAATCGCCTCCTTCCAAGTTCCCAACCACGGATTATATTTCAATGGTATCTAAGCTTGTGAAATTGAAAGAGCGTCATTAAATAAGAGATGAAGCATTTGCACAGGCAGAAGGTGCTAACAGGTTATAGTATCAATTCTGGAATTTGGATGACACGATAATCTTATTTCTGCCTGAATACGTAACACGCGTTTAAATGTAATTCACGCTTGTTACATGTCCTCATCGCAACCAAACACTGAGGAAGGTCACACGTCATCAGCTGTGTGTGTGCTGTGTTCCACGTGATTGGTTAAGCTGCGTCCACACCGGTTGATCTCGTGTTCGTGTTCCGTTTGTGTACTTCTTGTAAATGTGAACGGTCTAACGATCCCGAGCGCCACGGGCTCCACAGCGTGAGCAGAGGGACTTTGCCTCCCGTCGAGGGAACGCTAGGCAGTGTGTGAAGCAACCTCAACCCTTTGCTCGCAGGGAACTGGTATGAAAGGCGAACGCCAAGCAGTTCCCTCAACGTTTATTTATTTATTTGGTGTTCTGTCTGACGACAGGTCCATATGAACAGGATCCTTCCATCCTTTTCTCGGACTGGGAACTGTTCATATACGTTCTTGGCAGATGATCCAGAAGTGGTTTGCCATTGCCTTCTTCTGTGTGTGAATGGAGTAATTGTTGGGATGCCACGGAGAAACCGGGGAAGACCCCGGAGGACAACTCCGTGTTGCCTAGACCACGGCCTTGCCCAACACAAGTTATAAATTCGGACACC